TATTTATTGCCTTTAAGTTAATGTACGACCGATTGAGTTCAATAAACTGTGAAAAGAAAAAAAAAAAAAAAACAAAACAAAAGATATTCATATCAAACAGACTCGAAGCCGGTTTCTCACCTGCTAGGTGACGATTGTAAAACACGCGCGCAATCTTCCAAAAATATAATGATACAAAATGTTACAGGAAGCTGCCAAGCACAACATATGATTGCCATCTGTTTATGTAAATTAATTAAAATTACTTTTTACATTGTATCACCAACCACATATGTGTTGTATGTACGATTGGAGATTGTATTTAAATGTAACTAACATTCGTAGTTTGCCATTCGCTGTAAATGGTTGTAAAACTGTTAATAGGCAAGTTTATATGATAGAGATGTAGAGATTCTTGTCACTCATATAAATATACAAGATAAGAAAGTAATTTAGCTGAGAAAGCATGTAATTAGTTGCATGTGTAAATGTTTAATTATAATACTATTTTGTTTAAAATAAATCGAATAAATTTCCTAAATATCGATTGCTTTAAATTTTTGTTCACTGGGTAGTAAGGCATCAGAAATATCACTATTCACACAAATGGTAAATCTATCGATTATTTGTATTACTCCGCACTAGCATTGTACCGCTTTTAGTGGAGAATAAAAGTAAACAAAATGACAATTTTGTATAAAGTTGAGAGTCGGCGTGAGTTTGGTAATGCCAAAGAGGGTAATGTTTTCCCACACAAGGTAGTGTTGTGCGCTGTCTCCGCACGCAACATAGTTGCATTCAGCGCCCTACAGAACCTCTCCAGCCACGTCTATGTCTGTGACATTGTGACGCCCTGGCAGTACTACAAAGTCTGCAATTCGAAGTCCTTGATCAATGTGCTGGAGTGGAATGCGAACGGCGAGCAGCTGCTGCTGGGCTACATTGGCGGCCGTGTGGAGATCTGGCAGCCCAAGGAGCAGTCACTGAACGTCTGGCAACTGCAGTTCCATGCCAACATACCGAGCGAGGACATCATCCAGGCAAAGTTTTTCCACAATGGCAAAGGCGTCGTATTCAATACCCAGAAAAAGGATCACACCTACTACGGGGAAAAATTTGAGAGGCTTGAACAGCGGCCCACGCTAACCGGCTTTGGCGGCGTTGCTACCGAGGGCTGTATACTGCTCACTTCTTCAGGGTTGCTGGCTGCCTTCACGCTGCCCCAGCTACAAAAGCTGGCCATCAGCAACAACAACAGCGGCGGCCAGGCGCAAGAGCCAACGCCACTTAACAATGCGAGCAGCGAGCAGGTAGAGTTATTTCCTGTGACCCACAGCATTGGCATCTCACGCAGCTACATAGAACACTGCAGCATTGTGGCCAGCGCCAGCGGAGCCCTTAACATTGCCTACAGCACAGGCTGGCAGCAGCAACAGCAGCAGCAGCTGGTCTATTGCTACAAAGTAAGGGTTGCGACATTAATGTGCAGCTTCTAGAATTTATTAACCATTGTCATATGTCCAGGTCTCGCTGCAGCTGGAGGGCGAGCGCATCGTCTTCAAATCCGAGTCGCTGGCCAGCATATTCTTGAACACATTGCCGTCGTCCACGCTGGAGAGCAAGCGCATTGCGCAGCTGTTGTGGGCGCGAGTGGGCAACGAGGACGTCATCTACGTGGTCTTCAACGTGGGTGAAAGCGCCAGCTTGCTGGAGCAATGGACTCTGACACGGCGCCACCAGAGCGTGCACGCCCTACTGCAGCAATCGGCGACTGGGCCAGCCGCTGGCAGCAAGCCCGTGGACTACGTGCCCAGCGAGAGCTGGGAGCAGGTGGCCAAGTTGCAATTGAGCGCCCAAATTTCACAACTGTGCAGCAGCCGCCTAATCGCCGCAGATTGCGAGCAGCTGTTTGCCATATTGCAGGATAACAGCGTGCAGGTCCTGGAGCCGGGCACACTAAAGCAGCTGAATCACACGCAATTTGAGCACGATGCTGAGACACGATTCGTTTGTGGCGACTTGACGCCCACCAGCCAAATGCTTATCATCTTCGACAGCCACGCCCAGCTGCACGCCATGCAAACGCCCATGCTGAAGCAGCATACGAACACCATGCAGCTGCTGTTGCTGCTGCTCGAGTACTGCATTGTGACAGGCGTGGACGCCAGCGACGTGCTGCTCCTCAATCTGGGCAATCTGGAGGCGCTCGTGGACAAGCTGACGGACAACTTTACGCGCCAGCCGTCGTACGTGCGTCAGTTCTACTATGCGAACTTCCTGGCTCTGAAAAGCAATCTGTGCCGGGCCCAACAGCAGGAGTTCGATAATCTCATCATTTTGCACGCCATCTCGAGCACGTTTAAGAGTTTGCTGCGGCCTTCGGACCTGGGCTGCCAGGATAAGGGGCCGGCGGACAATTTGGCCATGAAACTGGCCGAGTCAGTGCCGGACGTCGACACAGTGTTGCTGAATCTGGATCCCAAGGACTTTACCGTCGAGCCCATGATGTTGCAGAGTCTGCAGCAGCTCATCCAATGGGTCACGGATCTGGCGCTCAACATGCTCAATCGCCTGCCCGAGGAAGTGATGAAGAGCAAATTGTCCGGCAAACGGGCTAGCTACGACATCAGTCGCGACATCGTCGCCATTGGCAGTCTTCGTGAGTTGCTTGTCATGATCCGCATTTGGGGACTCCTCAATCCGCAGTGCCTGCCCGTGTATACCAAGACGATGGAAAACATCGATGTGCTGGCCATATTGTTCAGGCTGCTGACGCGACTGGCCCAGAATCCAGCGGAGCCGGACGAGCTGCTACTGGACGAATGCAGTCTGCTGTCGAAGCAGCTGCTCATCCCACAGCCTTCCAAACACAATCCAACAACGCTGCTCAGCGCCCAGGGCTATGCAGCTGTGAAATCTGGACAACTAACGTTCACCTCGCTAGTGGAGCCCGTCGGATTGCAGGAAATCGAAATGGAGCAAGTCGTCTTCGCCAATTTCATCAAGGATGGTGTCAGCAATTTACAATTGGGTGCTAATCCGAGCACCATAAGGAGATGCGCCCGCTGCGGATTTGTGAATAGCGCCAACAAAGTGGCCAAAACGTCTGCGTTGAAGGCGTGGTGCAACAAATGGTTACATTGCCACTGCGGTGGCTTCTGGAAGCAAATCAATTAATCATAACTTAAGAATATTATTATTATTAAGAATTAAAACTAATTTAAAATAACGTTTGTGAAACATCGATTTGATATTTATTTGAAATCTTATAGCGCGGAACTTTTAATGCTGAAAAGTTACAGTCGATAGCTGTGCATACATTATTTGGTGGTGCTATCGATAGTTGCACAGACTCACACACACATTGAAGTACAATCGATTGCTTTGCATCTCAGTTTCTTATTAGACTATTGATAATTACAAACAAGAATTGGCTTGCAAAATAAATTTATAATTCAATTAAGTTAATTGCAACTCAAAATGAACATAAACCTGTCCAATTTCAACATGAAGAGCCTGGTGAAAGAAGCGGGCAGCACAATATCGCGCGTGGTGCAGGTAAATGCTTAGGCAAGCACTTCTAGTTGGAGGCCTGGGCCTGAGCCTCGGCCTCGGCCCGTTGGGGGTGTTGGTAGCGTTGGTTGGGCAACGTAAGGAAAGGAAAGTGGTGTGGGTAGGGTGGACAGCCTTGCGCACGCGATTGACTTTTTGCGTTTACCCTTGCCCTTTTATGCAGCTAACCGAGGAGAAATTGGGCACCACCGAGCGCACCGAATACGATATACACTTTCAAAACCTGGCTGAACGCGCCGATGTGACCAAATCATGGACTGAGAAAATAGTGCGCGACACCGAATCGGTGCTCATACCCAATCCACAGAATCGCGTCGAGGACTATATTTTCGAAAAGATTGAAAAATCAAAGCCGAAGCGCTTAAGCAATCTGGAGCACCTGGCGTTGGACATGATTGAGGCCGGCGGCGACTTTGGCCAGGACTTGCCATATGGCCAAGCGTTAATCAAAGTGGGCCAGGCAGAGCAGAAGCTGGGCCAGTGCGAGCATGATTTCATAGCCACATCGGGCATTTGCTTCACGCAACCGTTGCGCAAATTCCTCGAGGGCGAAATGAAGACTATTAGTAAGGAGCGTGGGCTGCTGGAGACGAAGCGGTAAGCAAGCTTTGCAGATTACAGACATGCATACTTATAATACATAATGGTAAATTTCGCAGCTTGGACCTGGATGCGTGCAAAAACCGGGTGAAGAAGGCGCGCAGCATGCTGGGCCAGCAGTCGGTGAGTAGACTCCACTGCTCCACTTGGCTAGCGGATTTGTCGCATTAAGTTGATTTATGGATTTTCGCCTCTGCTTTTACATTTGTGCTGCTTTTACTCTGTGCGGAATGTGTTGTTTGTGATTTATAGAAAGATGGCATTTCGCCAGAAGCTGCCTTGGAACAGGTATCGCCCACTGAGGCGCCTCCCTTAAGCTCACTTTTTATTATATCTCTTGGTTTCATGTGAGACTTGTCTATTATATGTGCTAATATATAAATTTCTTCTTGTGCAGGCGGAGCGCGATCTGCGCGTAGCTCAAGCCGAGTTCGACAGGCAGGCCGAGATCACCAAGCTGTTGCTGGACGGGATTAGCACCTCGCAGGCGTCGCACTTGCGTCATCTGCACGCCTTCGTTCAGACGCAGGTGCGATACTACAAGCAATGCGGCGACGTTATGGACCAACTGCAGCGCGAGTTGGCCAAGTAAGTGGAGAGCAGCCAGGGCAGCTGTAGAAGCTGCTCATGGATTAGTTAATTATATTTCATAGCTGATTATCTGAATAACTGATTACCTGAGTACCTGTGTACCTGTGTACCTGTTTGTAGGCGGCACTTTACCAAAACAAAAAATGTATCTCTTGCACTTTGACATTCTATATGTATGTCTGTCTGTGGTGTTTGCTTTTTGTTGTTGTTGACCTTTCGGTGTTTTTGTTGTTGTTTTGTGGTCTTACAGAATGCAGCCAGCGAAGCCTCGCCTGCGCATCAATAGCGAAGATGTGGACGGGCCTCCCAGCATTGCTTCGGCGCATTCATGTGATTCCAGTGAAGCCAGTTCCATCGCACTGGCCAAGGCCATAGATAGCGATTACGATTTTGATAATGGGCAGGATATTGATATTGATATTGAGTCGGGCTTTAAGAGCATTGACATTGGTCCGGTCAAGGCGCTCACCCATCTGCTGGAAGACTTTGAGATAGAATTCGATACGAGCGCCATAAGCACAGTTTAATTTAATTCATCTGAAATGATAAACAAGTCTTGAATCAAAATTTTTGAAGCGGGTTAACACACATACGTATACGCATATATATGTATATACTATTAGGCTAAACTTTTTGTATTGGTTGTTCTATTGAAACGAAACTTATTTAGTCGTCCATTTGTAGTCTCCTAGTTGCTTCTGTTTCTATTGCGGTTGCGGTTGCTGTTAAGCGGTTTCAATTGTAGCTCCACCTATCCACTATCCTAAATTTCCAACATCAAGTTCATTCACACTCAAGCCATTTAAACTCTCCTCTCTGCCTCTGCGTCTTCCATCAGCTTGGGAGGCCCGACGCCCTATACACCGATCGATCTGCTGGATGCCACCAAGTCCAGTGCCGCCGGCGGCATGAGCGTTGGAGCACGCAATCCTGGCAATAGCAGTCAACAAAAAGCGAATCAGTCCATGCAATTGAATGTGAGCACCGATCAAATGCAACGTGCACGTGTCCTGTGTTCCTACGATGCCAAGGATCACACCGAATTGAATCTGAGCGCTAACGAGGTGAGCAGTTCATCATATATATTCTATATATATACCAGATCTTGTCCAGCTTCATTCATATTTTCTCTTCACTTTCGCAGGTCATCTTTGTCACCGAATGCTCGCCAGTGAATGAGGATTACATGTACGGTAAGCAGGGTCTGATGAAGGGCTTGGTCCCGCGCGCCTTTGTCGAAATGCTCGATGACGAACAGAAGGACGACTATTAATTGGCCCATTGATAAGGAATGAAAGCAAAAGCGAAAAGACAAACAACATCTATTCAAAGCAAAATTAACTCATTAATACTCATTTTGAGCAAACGCAATTGCAATGGGACAATTACATACATAGTTCATACTAACTCATTAATACTCATTTTGAGCAAACGCAATTGCAATGGGACAATTACATACATAGTTCATACATATGCAAGAGAGTACAATAATTTATCAGAATATACACATATATACAAACATATTATATTAGAGAGAGCAATGCGCCCTAGCTTAACGTCCGTGTCGATTGAATTCGTGTGCCTCTTGTTAGCCACATAAAATGCATTCCGCAGCGCACCAACATTTACCTTTACCTTTACGTAGCTAGCTGTCCCATCCCGATCCTCCCATCCCCGTCCTGTTTCTTGCTCAGCTTTTAATCAAATATTTCAATGTCTATGTGCATACATATAAATATCAATACCGATTTGGCTAACAAATTATCTCTCAAATATATGAAACTCAATTGTTTTTACAAAATTTAGAAAATCTCAATTAATAACATCAAGAATATTTGTTACTTATTAAATACGTATATATCTTATATAGTGCGAAAAGGAACGTGTTAAAGAAAATTTCCAAACATTTATTATTGTTGCTAAACATGGAGCCTTTAACTACTATTATTAAGCTTTTCAATCTCACATTGAACAAAGTATTATATATTTTATGTTATTTTGATAGTTGATTATTCGTTAGTTATTATATTTGAAGTGTGCTTTAAACACATCCATGTATATCTATATCTATATATATAATTATTAATATATCTCTATTTATGGAATTGTTAATACATCTATATATTCGAAATCAGATTATTTATCTTAGGTTAAATACACATTTATCTTAATCTCTTCTCTCTAAATTTTTCGGTGCAATTATCCCCCCTTGCAAGTCAATTAAGTGTTTAAGAACTACCCGAAACACCAAGCTAAGCCAAGCCAAGCCAAGCCACTTTGGTGCTTAATCAAAATAATTAATAACTATTTAATAAACGTACAATACAATTAAAACTAAATGAAATGCCAATGCGAGTGCAAAAGAAAAACAAAAACAACGATTTTTAGGTTTTCAATGCGTTTAGAGAATGGGATTTTAGCAATAACAAAGCACACCATAAACTTTGAAAAAAAAAAAAAAAGAAATGTATTTAACTATATATAAATGATTATTAACTGAAAATGAAAAAAAAAAAAAAAAAATTAAAAAAATGTAACAAACGATTGTTTTATTGGCATATAACCAGTTCTCTATTTATTTACATAGCTAGCCGAATTCATATTTTGGCAAATAAAAGTCGATTTTTATTTTGGCAAATAAAAATGTGAACGAATTCACAGATAACAGCACCTCGTATATCTGCAAAGAAATCAAGAGAAAGCTTTATATCATGAGATATTTCCAATAAAATATTTATTCGCTTACTAATCCCAGTAATCTTCCAGGTCTGATCCATCCATATAATCGATATCGTCACCATCAACGAAGCCATCATAATCATAATCATCATCATCATTATCGAAATCATCATAGTCGTCAAAGTCATCGTAGATGTCGTCCGATCTTAAGTACATATCATCGTCATCAAAGGCCAACAATTCGGATACGTCATAGAAGCAGAAATTTTCTAATTTGCCCGGATCGTTCGAGATTTCGAGGATGTCCTTCGCAGTCTGCTGTATGCCATCCAGGAACGCCTTATCTATTTTGCAGCCGTACAAGCCGATTTTGATGGGCAATGGACGTTCGGTTTCGCTCTGTCGTAATTGCAAGCGAATCTTAAATACTATATCAGATAAGAGCCTTCCAGAGAGCTGTGGGCAATTATCCAGATGCACGACACGCAACTTGGGACAGGAGAGTATCAGGAGGAGCACAGACTGATCGGTTAAATTAGTGCAATACTTCAGATTGATCTCCTCCAGCTGCTGTAGGGCGCAAAGAGCCTCCACCTCTCGAGGTCCGATAGCATCATTTGCTGGTATTATGAGCGTACGCAATGCGCTTAGCTTGCTGAGCTGTGCCAGCATCGTGGCATTCAAACAGTTCTGTCCAAGCCCCTCAAAATGCTCCAGTTGTTCCGCCTTGTGGTCCACGAGCCATGTCAACAGCTTCGGACGCACAGTATTGTCTTCATGGTGGCTGTACACAATCACCTTCTTGAGGCGTGGCAACTTGGCAATGTACTCGTACTGGTTGGCCATACCAAAGCCGAAATCGGTGCTGACTGTCATCGCTTCCAGGGTGTGGTATCGCTGGCTCTCGACCAACTGCTTGAAAGCTGGGCCGATCGAATAAAGGCCTTTGAGGTTTAGCTCCTTCAGATGCTTCAAAGACTTCAAAGCCCTGATCAAGAGCTTCCCCTGCACGCTTGTGCAGCTGGTCAAAGTCAGAGACTCAAGGGTGGCTGGCAAGCGATTCATATGCTGACCAGTCAATTTGTCATTGTTGGACAGATCCAGATTCTTAAGCATTGGCAAATGCTTCAGAGCGAGCAGCGCATCATTTCTTAAACCGCAGCAACGTAATTGTAGATTCTGTAGCTTATTTAACTTGCCGAATATCTTCTCCATCATTTTCAGGGGCAACTTGTTGACCGTGATTTTTAATGTAGTCAAGTTAATGCAGTTGTTGCCCAGAAATTCGACCAAACGCTTGAAATGACGCTGCGGTATCACACCTTCGATCTCCTTAACATGTGGGCCGGACAACAAGAAAAAGTCACGAACATCCCACATGGTAAGATCAGTGAACTCCTCGAATTTCATTGACTTGTCCAATGCTGGCGCTGCCTGCTTATATATCTCCCGGAAGCGAAGACAGGTGCGTGCGAAGTGAATGCGATCGCTCAGTGGCAACATACGGAATATGTGATCCAAGCAATGATCGTTCAGATTCATTATAGCAGCCGCCGGCTCATCATCGGCTGCCAATGGAATGCCCTGGGCGTCTGGCTGATGCCAGCTATCGCTGGGCACCACAGAAACTCGAATGCTCTTCACATAGTGCACCTTGCGATGCAAAAGCCTATACGATCAGGAAGAGATCCATTTTAATATAAAATGTTGCTAATGATTGCCCCCACATGTCAATATACTCACTTGGCAGCACTGCGTGCATCGTCGAAGAGAACGAAACCACTTTTGCTTTTAGGTTTCTCAGCAGCCGCTTTGCAGCCGGAAGCATTGGCTGAATGGGTAAGCACCTCCAAGTGCTTCACGGCTCCAAAAGTGGAGAAATAATCTCTCAAGTTTTTGAGCGATAGCTTGACATTGATTTAAAAACATACATTGATATATGTGCCAATATTAACAATGAGCATTTTTTTTTTAATACTTACTGTTGAGCCCACATGGATCATATAAAGCTTTTTAATCAGAATGTGATCCTCGGTGTAAGCTTCACCGTCCTTAAAATAAAATGTTTTATGCATTGGATGTGGAATATGTACACTTTTACGAGAAATGCGTGGTCGACATATATTGAACTGTCGAGCTCGTTCACCTAGTTGACGTTTAAAGCTGTACGTCAATGACTCAAGGACGATTACAATTGAAACAAATTTCCTATTTCACAATAATGCGCCTCAACTTTTCTATTTCGTCGTGCGGTTTAAGGAAATCGTTTTCGATTCGTCTGTTGCATTGAGCGGAGCGATACTCTTGTAAGCGGTTACTTGATATCGCACATCTCACAACTATCGAACAATCTTTTTATCGGTAGCTGGTGCTACATAGAAACACTAACCAGTGAACACATTTTTTCGTCGCTGGAAAAAATTGTACGCATGTCCAGTGTATTTTCTGATTAGTGGTTTTACATATACATGTTTGTTTCATCACTAACCATTGATTTGAGAGATACCACTGACCAGTTGTTTGGTCAGTGGAGATACTCCATCTGCCAACTATCGAAACTAAATCTATCGATATTATTCGCTATGTATTGAAAAAAAAAAAAAATTAATGCTAAATCACTGGATAAATTCAAATGCATTTCATAAAAACAATAAGCAAATATTTTTCTCCCTCGCTCTTTAATTTTGTAAATTGTAACGATTTTTTGTTTGTAACGAAGCTTACAATAAATGTTTGCATATTCGATTTTAGCTGTGTTCCATGTAGAAAACTTAACACATTAAATTGACAAAATTTTCTAGTTTTCCTTATATACGGTTGTTTTACTAAAAGTCTTCGATTCTTAAGCCAGAATATCAACAAATAGCATATAAAATATATTACTGCGGTAAGCGCTGCCAGCAGCGTTTACATTACAGATTTATGTACATTAATATAATACAAAAAGCCAAATAAATATGTTTAACAATTATGTATGTTAATTATGCTGTCTAGTTTTGGTAGAGTTTCCCCGACTGTCACGAAAGAATCCAAGAGTGTATAATACCTGCAACGGTGGAAAACTATATTAAGTATAGGCATACTATTTAAACTAAATTAGAGAGCTTACGATTTTCGCCGGGCGAGAGTGTTATATGTATATCCTCTCGATTGTGAATCGGTGCTATAATGAAAGAATTTCAATTAGTATAAATTTAAACACATATAGAGAGGAAGTGCAACAACAACAACAACGGACTTTGTAAGTATTTAAATAAGTTCTTTATTTACGAAAGCTGCTTAAAATAGTAATAAACTTTGTTTGCTTAGTAATACAGACGCTAACAATAAAACAGATAATGAGGCCATATGCATTTGACATAAATATTAATTAAACATAAACTTCATGGTTTATAGATAATATATGTTGGGGTTGCATTATTAAAGCAACATGCTATGTTTCGAATTTGGGCGTGTCGTGTCTTTCGAATGAGCAAAAGTTTCGTTTGATTTTATTGATATTTTAGTCCTTTTAGTATCTATAGAGGCTGCATGCGTGCCATGACTTTTGTGGGTTTGTAATTCATTTTCTTAGCTGGAAACTAATTTAAAAAATATATGCTATCACAGTTTCAAAGTTGCCAACATGCAGGCAATGCGTGCAAGCCATGCATGTTAAGAGAACTTTGCATTGACACAGAGATGAACATAGCTTGACAATTATAGCACTTATAAATGATATATAAGCAGGCAAGCCAGCAGGAGCAATCAAATGATCAAAAACGAGCAGTATAGTATGTCACGTGTGCAAAGCGTATGGCTGCTGGCGATTGGCATCGGCCTCTGGCTGCATTTGCTGTTGTGGGCGTGGCCGGGGCTGTGCGCTCTCATCAGCATTAGGCACAATGCGTATCATACCCGGCTGGATCCTAACGTTTTCACAGGCTTCGCATATATTCAGTTGCGGATGATTGCGGAATGTACACAAGTTGCAGGCCCACATATCCAGTGGCTCCTCGCCTTCGTCCACCTCCGATTCGGACAGGGACTCCTCCTCCTCCTCTTGATTGGTACGTGGCTGGGCGACAGTTCTTGCAGGTGACGTTAAGGGTGGAGCTGCTGTCGCCGCTGCTGCTGCTGCTGCTGCTGCGGCCGCAGCTGCTGCCTTCTGCTGCTGCAGAAATTGCTGAAACTGATAGTATTGCGCATAGGTGGGCGGCGGCTCCATCTCCAGTTGCAGCTGCTGCTGCTGCTGCGGCGTCAAGCACGCCGAGCTGGGCGCGCTGCTGTGGTGCTGCACGAAATCTAGATGCGACTGTGTCTGTGTCGCGGGCACCGAGTGAAGACGCAGCGAATTGGGCGGCACCTGAGTCCGAGCGCTGCCAGGAGCAACTCGCTGTCGTGGAAATGGCAGCTGCTGTTGCTGCGGGCCTGGGGGCGCCGATAGTTGACGATTCATGGAATTTGGCGCGGCTGCATTGCCATTCAGCTGAGGATCTGGGAAGGAAAGCAGCCGTTCACTGGAGTCAACTCAAATTAATAATTTATAATTTGTGCGCCATACCATTGAGTAGCCGCTGACAGTCCTCAGTCAGTTTCTTGATATCTCTATCCAGTCTTTCAGATTCGCCCTCTGGCACCGGCTCGGTCAAAATGTTGATCTCCTGTTCCAGCATCAGCAGACGCTTCTTATTCTCACGCAACGCGTTGGCCAGCTTGTCGCGTCGCTGCTTTTGGCGCTCAATGATCTTGGCATGCGCTGCAAGCAAAAAGAACACATATTGATCAGAAATATTTTATTCATATCCATTTAACTTCATTAATTCAATATATATCAACACATATATACCTTATATTTATTTATATACAATTGTATATCTATACACATAGCAAGCAAGTATATTTATGGCTCTATAGCTCACATTTTATTACTCTGTTTGTTGCTAAAAATAAAGGCGCGCATTTTTGCTCGCTCGCTAAAAGTTCATAAACATATTTAAATTTAGTCAAAATGCGCAAGCACACGAGAAATCAATCTAATAATAATTTATTTTTGACTGAAAATAAGGCAGCGCAACGCCCGGTTTGAAATGATTTTTGAATTAGATTTTAACAAACTAACAAAAAGAACAAAATGAACAAGATAGAAAAAAAAAACAAACGGTTTAAATAAAAGCAGACACATATTTTTAGACATTTTGATAGATTTCTAGCGGAAATAGCAAACAGGGCAATAGGCCAAAGGAGGATCAGGCTGACATACAGAACATATATTTAGAGAAAGCAAATGAAAATGTTGTAGTACGTCATTTGCTTGTGTTCTGCAGACATTTTAATTGATAAATTAATTCGTTAATGGACGAGAAGAATTCCACGATATGTCACTAAAGTAAAAGTGTGAAGAATTTTATTTTAATTTGATTGACTGTCGCCTCTTAAATAGTTTAGCTAAAAGCAAAAGCGGCAAGTGCTTTTCAGCTATACATATATACAGTCGACTCTCGTTCTTTCGAAACTCTAGGGACTCTTAAAACATTACGAATTACCGAATATTTCAAATATTAAATGATTCGAAATTTTTAAAAGAATATAAATAAAACTTCGAATTATTAATTACCAAGGGATTTTATTTAATTGATGATATTTTACATATTCGTAATGCATGTTCAAATGAATAATCTTTTGAAAGGAACTCATTTGTACTGGCTTGCTTCAATATTTGTTGATATCTTGTATATTCGGGTCGTATGTTCACATTATTTAATCCCTGAAAAGAGCTGCTGCTACGACTTTTGAATAATTGAATAATTCCTCATTATAATAATCTCCTCAGTTTCGTTTTAAAGATATAAATATTTTAATCCAAGCTAGATAATATTCAATAAATTTACATTATGAAATGGCCCTTTGCCCATGCTGCGTATGCTTAATGTGTCAAGTGGAATACCATTTGCGATCCAATTAGAGTTCGGACTCGAATACGAATTCGGATTCGGACTAAGTTGTTGCTATCGCGATGTTTTCTTCGCATTTTCGCCGTGAACTTGAACGAGTCGCAGCAGCAACAAATGAAAGAACAGAAATACAAGAAAATAAAATGAGAGAACAAGAGAGAAAATGAGGGAGATATGACAGAGAGAGCGAGAGAGAGCGTAAGCGTTGTATAAATAAAATGGTAAGGAACGCGGACGGTGGGACTGAGCGAAAGACCGGCAGATGCGAAGCTGGTGGCGGCACATTGCTCGTGGAACACGGAAACGAAATGGAATGAAACAGAATTGAATAGAATGGAAAAAGTACAGACAAGAGACATTTCTACATCAAATAATATGTCGGACCCAATCTATATACATACATACAACCGAAATCGAAGCGTGGGCGTTACATTTTATATATTATTGTCTCTATATATAAGATATACCTAAGTAAATTGTTTATATAGCTCAGCTATCTGCATTTTCGAGAAGGTTGGACAATCGGAAAAGAAAAAGGCATAACGGTACCGATAATTGTAAAATTTGTTGGATTATTATTGAGACTTATATTCGATCTACCTGGCAGTTAAGCTACCCAGTATTATTTATATGTCGAGAATGAAATTAAAAAATTATAATTAAATTAAATGAATGAAAAAATGTTCAAAACATTTAATGGACTCCAAAATAGTCGTTTCCTTCTCAGAATATACAAATTAATAGGCCTAATTTTTGTAGAAAGTCAGATATATGACTGGCTTGTCGCCAGTTAGAATAGCATTATACAATAGACGACTTCTAAAACTTGAACCCAATATTTATACAACCATGATAGACTGGAGTTTTTGAGATCTGAGAAGCCCTAAGGGCTTACAATTAGATAAATGAAATAATTTTCGAATACTTTATACATACTTCATTTTCGAATTATGTGATTTGTATAGCCATAGAAACTTTTGACCTGAAAAATAAAACAAACTTCGAAGCCTGTTGTCATACGCCGATCTATAAAATAATGAACTAAACACATGGTTTCTTTAATATGCTTTCGTCTAATCCGACCCGAATATCGGTATGTTAATTAATCTGTAAGCATACTTCTATGGCATCAAGAGTTTAAGTTACACCAAAAGCATTAAATACAATCCAGACTGAATTGTGCATGAGCATAAAACGATAAATGGGCATGAGCATAAAACGATAAATGGGCTAATATATATTCGATTCCATAAGGTAAATAGTAGTTATAGAGTTTCTCATATAACAACATCGTTTGCAACATTTGGGGCGTAATTCAATTTGTTATCAATTGTAAACAGAATGGTCTGATAAGGGCTGGTGTGATTAGACCTATTATACGGCGAAAAAATCCCCTATATAGGAAAACAAAGCTATGAAACAAAAATTACGTCGCAGATAACGAATGCGATTCCAGACATGTGGAAGTCCAAATATAACTAAACTAACTAAGCTTTATGTCTAACAAAAAACTATTGCTGTTTTTTTTAGAATTACACTAATTATTATTATATTTGGCAACCAGGAATATTTTATTTGGGAAGCTTAACAAACTTGTAATTAATTTACTGGACTTTTCTATTCTGCCGCTTGATATAGATTTTTTTTTTAGATTTTTACTCGTAACAGCAATCACTTTTCTTTGACTGATCATTGTCTTGTTCAACAAGGATCAATATCTGAACTTATGTATTAGACTTTACTATGCAGATATTTGGGCTACACTAAAAGTATAAAACCAACCTATATAGATATTTCTTTAAATCAATGGATTGTACAGTACCTACGAATAAAAAATACTTATTTCATCACTAGAGATTTGCTTTCGTGCTTAGACATCTATATACTTTGGATGATTGGAAATATATCGATATGCATATATTTAAGTATCAGTATCATTATCTGTATATGCATTTCCCTATCCTTAAACATTTTGTGTTAGAGTTTTGCTTGAGGTTCTAACAGAGCGCTTGAGCAGTCAGAAACTCAACCAACAATTTCTGTAACTGATTAAAAATAGGTCTTTGTACACCTGTTCGTCTATCGGAACAGATCTTTTCGATTGGCTGCTTCGCTATGACTTCGCATTTAGCACTCGCTGACGCTGTGAACTAATCTGCCTGTGGTAAATCTTTCTCTATCTTTGGACTCACCTTCTCGATCCGATTCGGGCACAACGCCCTCGTAGAGGGGCATGTGCGTGACGCTGGGGCTGTTGTCGCTGCTGTTGCTGTTGTTGTGCAGATGATTGTTGTTGTAGTTGGAGGCGACAATATGGTTCTGCGCCTGTGTGGGATATGGAAATATGGCCGGCATCTCGGGCGGTGCTGCAGCAGCTGCCGCTGCTGCTTCGGCCTGTTCCTGTAGTTGCTGTTGCAGCTGCTGTTGCTGTTGCTGTTGCTGGCGTGCTGTTGGCGTTGCCCCATCGGTGACCAGCACTCCTGGCTGGGATGGCGGTGTGGTTGGGGGCGGCGGGCAGGGCGCGTAGAGCGGCACCTGGGGACGCACACAGCCGGCGCTGAAAACGCTGCCCTCGTCGGTGACCGTTAGCTGGAAGTTCTTGTGGGTGCCGCGGCGCGCATCAAAGCTACTGCTCGAGTAGGTGATGCCGCTGCTGCCGTTCCCGCTGGGCGCTGGCCCGGCCGTGATGTCTATCGTAGCGGGCGCCGTTCCGTTGCTGCTGATCTGCGGCTGGCGCAGGGTGAGATTGAGTGAGGTGAAGCTCTTGCGGCCGCTCGGCGTACTGCCACCGGATGTGGGCGATGGGGGCGTGGGCGCTGGCGCTGGCGCTGGCGGTGCCGAAGGCGAAATTGCACTGACCGCGTTGCTAAGAAATTCGCGCGCATACGGCGGCTCCGGTTGCAGCGTTATGACTGAACGATGTCGCACGGGCGAACGTAACTGCGCAGTAGCTGGCGCTGCCGACTGCGCAGCTGACGTTGTCGCCGGAGCAGCAGCAGCAGTCTCTGCTGTCGCTGACGTTGGCGATGATAAGGAAACATTGAGCGACAGCTCCGACTCGCTAGAGCTGAGCGGGCTGGTGAGACATGAGGAGTCATTGGAGCAGCTGCTCGAGACAACGGCCAACGGCTTCGGCGGCAGCGGAGGCAGCGGCGGTGCGCGACGCAACGGCTTGTACTGCGCGCTGGGCGTCAGCTGTTGTCGCGGCGCGGGTTGTTGTTGCTGCTGCTGCTGCTGTCGCTGTTGTATCTTCTGCTGCAGCTGCGCGTTTAGCTGACGCGGCAAATTCAATGTGGTGGGTCGAGTGCGAGCAATGGGTGTGACTGGCGGCGTTTCAACACCACCGGTTGGTGGCTGGGTGGGCGCAGCCCGCGACGGCCTCAAGGGCGTCGGCGGCTTGGCTTGGCGCTGCTGTTGCTGCAAATGCTGTTGCTGTTGCACCACCTTGGCGGGATAGGACTGGACGGGCGAGGGGTGCAGCACCAGCTCCTTCTTCAACATCTGTATGCAATTGTCGCGCTGATGGCAATTCTCATTGACGCATTGCGTCACCAAGGCATCCGGCAGCGTGGGAAACTCCTGCTTCATCTCGTGGAACAGGTGCATAATACTTATGTTTGTGCACTGGCAACTTGGCTTGGCTTTCGGCCTGCAGGCAGACTCCTCCAGCTGCTCATAGCTGTTGCTGCGGCTAATGTTGCTGTTGCTGTGGTTCCTTAGATATTGCTGTTGCTCTTGCTGCTGTTGCTGTTGCTGATCCTCGTCCGCGCTAAGCAGAGCCTTGAATTGAAAGTGCTGCTGCAGTGCCTCGACTATTAAGGGCGTGTTGTTGTTGCTCGCTTGTGGTTGTGGTTGCTGTTGCTGCTCCTGTTGCTGCTCCTGTTGCTGTTGCTGTTGCTGTTGTGGAGGGTTGCCATTTAATTGGAAATGATTTGCTCCGGGCGGTATTGGTGGTGTGGCCGCCATTTTAGGCCATCATTTGTCACTGCCGCAGACCTGAAAATACAACCAAGACACGAATTAGCTAATTGCATTAGCAATGGAAAGCACTGTGTGTGGGGGGGAATGCAAAATTAGTTCATGGCCCGATTTAGCACGGCGACTAAGTCGCCTAAGTCGGCAATTTCAAATGCAAAACAAACCTGGCAAAAATTAAGAAAAACTGATAGTCAAGAAAATAGAGAAAAATCGCCAAATCAAAGAGCTTCAAGCAATTTGCTTAAGCGCCGAAACAATAAACAAATGACAAAGAAAATTTAAAAATATTTATGACACAATGCACGGCATAAAAAATTGCTCAGGTTTTCAAAAAAGAAAAATAATATGCAAAAACGACGAGCTAAGAAAAAACGCGAATAAAAATAATAATATTAAGTGAGCAAAAATAGAAGCGTCATACTAGCTAAATCTCGATATCGCGTGCTGTTAGGACAGTGTCAAGGATGACATAAATATACATGAGTATCTTAATACATATATATATATATATAGAGAGAGAGAGAGAAAGAGAGAGAGAGAGAGGGAAACAGAAACAGCTTGATATATAGAGATATAACTAGACCATTGTGATGTATGGCAAGGAACGACAATTTATCATAACCAGTTTAAAGCTGGCTAAACACAAATAATACGTGTGAATCGACTTACATTTTGATTTCGATCAAATATAATAGTTAAATAGTATAGTTTATTATTTAAGATATGCAGTTGAACAGCTAAAAATTCCCAGAAAACACGAGCTCTGTCTCTTTCCTTATTAAATTGATCGATGACGTATCTAAATCTTTTAATGGCCTTTGTTGAGCCACACATAAATATATATAACTATATGTACACATACATATATTATTTATTTATTTATGTATATTTTATTGTACATCTTTTGATTGCAGCAAACAATTTGTTTTCGTTTTTGTTTTCCTTTCACAATTATATTTATTTGCAGTTTTTGTTTTCGGCTTTCATATATTTGTTTATTTGCATTTCAAATCAAAATAAACAATTTTCCATTAGCTGTATGTATATTTTATGGGCAGGTGTTTGTCATTTCTTAACACTTTTTTTGACATATTAAAGAAACCTTTTCAAAGCAATTTCACAGATTTCAAGCATTTTTCTAGAGACTTCTGTGCTCATATTTGAAACAAGTATATAAATGGGACATAAATATAGTTGATTTCATAAAATTATTGTAGTCTGCACAACAAATTCGTTTATCAAAATTAAATTCGTTGCGAAAATTATTATTATTATTATTATTATTATTTTTTTTTTTTTGGCGTAGACGCGTTTGAACGCTTCAAAAGCCAGCGATAAACTGAAAACAATTTCAAAAATATTCGAAAAGAGTAGAGCCAAAAAAATAGCATACATATAGACACATACATCTGAGAGAATGTATATGTATATGTATATGTATATGTATATGAATGCTAGCAGATAACAAAATAGAAATTGTAATTTCCTCTTCAAGTGAACCATGTGACGTATGCGTAATGTAAGAACTATTAATATCGCATGATATATCGGACAGCTATCAAGCATCTTTTAATCAGGTTTTTAAGTCGCCCCATATTATATATAACCATATATTATGCTGCCTTTGTATTAAGCTCAAGTGAAACAAATCAATTAAATCATTCAATATTTTTGACACACGCACACATTCAAGCAATTTGGCAAAGCCTTTAACAGCATCTCTCCCTCTCTCTCACTCGTTTTCTCTCTCTCTCTCTCTCTCTCTCTCTCTCTCTCTCTCTCTCTCTCTCTCTCTCTGTTGTTTCTTATAAATTTCTTAAAATAAACTTTTGTGTGGGTGTTGCACAAAAGCATCGATAATTGAATGAATTTCTTTTTTCTTGAATCTTGCAAACAACAACAATAGCAAATAGAAAATAAATAATATGCTGAGGTGAAAGAGTTGTTAAGAAATGAAATTCATTAAAATCTAAAATAACATGTCTGGCTGAAAGAAAACTATTTAATAGCTACACAGGCACAAACTGGACGGAGAGAAGAAAATTAATCGCCAACATCAACGCGAGGATTAAATAGACATAAAAAATGCTTTTTTGTCTTTTTATTTTTTGCTTGAGAATTGCGGCTCACCTGAGCTTTTGAAGAAATATAGAAACCAACTACTGACAGCATGCATAAAAACAAATAATAAACTTTGCGACACACACACATATACACATATATATTTATAATAAAATATACGACTATAGCAATAAAAATCAAACATTTATGCACAAAAAACGTATTAATAATAAAGCATTGGCATTAAATTTGGATACAGCACATTTAACATGGCGCCATTAAAATGGCCCGCCGCAGGCATAAATAATATTTATATTTCTCTATATCTATCCGAATAGAGCAGCGAACAATATTTTGTTCTATATGTACATATATCTGTTTGTATGTGTGTTCCAGAATTTGTTTATTTCAATGCCCGACCCATAATATGATAAAACCAACAAAAAATATGAAGTAGATGTGAGAAAATTCAAAATTAGCAAATTTAATAAAGAAAGTAAAACAAGTAAAAGGCATGTAAGGCGAGAGCTGTCGAGCATAACCGACTGCACAATGCTCGTTCACAATCTATGGAAGAATCGTTATTTTGGAATCTATTATATTATATTATTATTACAAATAATACTCAAGGGCTTACATGCTTCAATTCATACTGGGACGAGAAAGAGATTTGATCTAATTATTACTAGATTATTCAGTATTATATAAACTAAATCATTTCATTGAATACCTAGTTCATTTATTTCGAGTTTGTTTTATTATTTTATTAGTTACATATATTAGTTAAGCTAACTAATTATATTAGCTACACTATCTATCTATTGGCATTCATACAGATAAAAATCAACATGTGCACAAGCTAATATAGCCTTTTCAGCTTGTGAAGGGGCATAACAAGTAAAAGTACTTTAATAATAATTTATATTTATATTAAAAATACATACATTCTGTTTATACCTAATCCCCACAAAGCACTCTCTCTCTCTCTCTCTTATAGTCTTTGGTTTAGCAGGAGTTAAATTTGAATATTTATTGATAATAACCCCTTTACTATAAGCATTAATGACCTTGCCAAAATAAAATTAATGTTCGCAATTGGCAATTTTTGTTTTTATTTATTCTCATTAGTAATTCTGCATTTTGATTTTATCATTTTTAAAGAGGGAGAAGAGAATTTTTCGTTCCACAAATTTCCAAACTAACATTTTCGTATATAGGGAATGAATGGAATGCGAGCCAAAACAGTTTCGGAACTTGGAGAAACATATGGAATTGAAAATACTCTGTAAATTTGTTGATTTATTTGGGTACACCTTTAGTTATTTCTATTTTGAGACTCATATTACTATTATTAAATTATTTATTCAAAATATCTAGAGCTTAACTATATGTATTAGCTCTCGACCTAATGGTCCAAATCAAATGGTATTACAAAACAAACATTGATGAGAATACATTATCGTATAATTGGAAATCAAGTAATATTTTATTTATACATGTGCTTTCCTTTCCAATATACACTTTTTGTATACCCTACTTTATAGTGTAAATAAGATTTTCTTTTTTCGGGCACTGGGCATATCTTATAGATTGTGGTGAGTGGAAAGGGGATTGCGGGGTCGTTAATGAAAATTTGTTTAATTTCAATTAATTCTGTTATTCTCGTTGTGTTTGCCAGTTTCGTGTGACTTATAGCGAGGGTGTAGCGCAGACAAACATGCGAGCGACGACTGCAGACGTAAACGACCTTCACAATTAGCTAGCGATATATGCAATAGATATACATGTATGTATGTATATCCATATATACATATCAATGTGTATGCAGATGTGTGCTATACGAGAGATATGCACGAGTCGTCAACTGGGAAAGGAAATCGACGTCAAAAACTGCAGCTAGCATATAAAAGAAAACAGAGTCTTCGTATATGTATATTCGATGTATGTACACATATTTGTATACATACATATATACTCGCATGTGCTATAGATTCTAGATTCTATATGGTATGCTCAGGTAACAGAGTGCTTCATTTGCCTTGACATACGCAAAAATCGAGAGGCATAGAACCTGTGTTCAGAGTACAAAAGACCAACAAGTTTACAAAGTAATTAAATTTATGGCAACACATATAAGTTTTATGCGTGGATGTGGCTCGGAACGGCGCGGTTCGGAACGAATCCTCTTGTAATTGAACGGAACAAAGTTTCCATTCATTAAAATGCTTTTGTGCAAAAAGAAAATGTTGGCGTCGCTTCGCGTGCCTTTAGACCGATTTACATGAAAGCAAATAAGAATAAGCAAAACAAAAGCGAAAGACCACGAAAATAAAGAGAAAATTTGTTTTTGGGTTTTCCGAGCGCTCGATCAGCGGATTTTAAAGTTGGTCATCGTATGTTAATGAGAATGCCGCATTCTTTAGATGTTTTCTCTTTTAGAATCAAGAAAGATTTCCCTAAATAGATTTTGGAATACGAGTTTAACGATCGATCAAGCTAAGTTTAATGATGAATAAAATGTAAATTTTTAAGCTAATGGTAATACAAATTCTAAAGCTCTGTTACAAATGTTAAAGTTAATGCCAATAAAGTAAGTTTACAATTGAAAGATCGAGTGTTGCTTTTGCTTAAATAAAATTATATTCATGTTAAAGGCAATGGTAAACTAAACTCTTCATGTAGTGGTTCCCTAGTCAAATAGTAATATTAAATAAAGTGATTGTTAAATTGAACGTAAATGCTAAAATAAATTTCATCATTCATTTCTTTTCATGTGTTTATTTTTAGTCATTTAACGAATATCATATACAACAAATTGGAACTCATGTTAAACTTAAGGTTAAATTGAATGTAAAATGTTATCGTTAAAGTTGTTTTCCCTGTAAAATCGCCTGCCTCATTTATCAGTTTCCATTGAATAACTAGACCTCACTATTGATAGCTTATCAAAATGGCATTCGAATATGTAGGAAACCCTTTAAATTAAAAGTTAAGTTAATGTAAAATGTACTGACGATTTCCTTATCATATAAGGTTTATTTTTATCAATTAAGTAATCCATATTACAATAGATACATTGTATGTGTTCGTGGACTACCACCGGATTGCTTTTGTCTTTGAAGGCCGACAATTTGAAGTATCGATGCAATTGACCGGAAATCTCGGTGTCTGCCTTGTCAAAAAAGGCCGAAAAAGAAAAATGATTATAAATAAATAAATAAATGCGAAGCAAAGAAAATCTTTGCACACAACAAAAATGAGGGGGGAAATAACAATATACCCGCCCCGAGAGGCCGTATATACGAGACATCCAATTCTTAAACAGAAAACATACGGATCGCCCGATGGCGATGCGTAGAAAAACTAGAATGAATATTACTAGATAACTCTGCTCTACAACATGAAAACAACTTTCACTTTGAGAGCAAAAATACGTTGAGGAAAATTATACAAGTATAAACGAAATATTATAAATCAAATGCGGAGACATGAAATGAAATGGAAAAAACACGCAAAAATGGAACGAGAATAATTTAATTTTTTTTTTTTTGGTTGTTGTTGCTGCTTAAGTCTCTTCTATTTTCAATTTTGTGTTTTCTTTACTTGTCTTTTTTCGTTTTTTTTTTTCTTTTTTCATTCTATTTTTTTCTGAATATTTGTTGTTGGTTTTGAGCGGGTGCTGCTTGCCAATAATTTGAAGAGGCGTTTTGCGGAATTTTCTGCAGACGTCAGGCCTTGACTGACGTCATTAGCGCGAATTTCAAATTGGAAAAAGAAGACAGGAGAAACGTGGTTCCAATCGGCTGTCCTGCTTCTGCTCGAAAAATTACTTGGCGTCGGCGATAATGCAGACATTAATACGGGTTATTTATTTATTTATTTATGAATACTTTTTTGTTGCTGTCTTGAAATTTTAAATTTGTATTTTATTTTATTTTTGTATTTTCTCTATCTCGGTTCTTTGGCTCCTCGTAAATGTGCAAATAATCAAAGCGGAGTCAAAGGCAACGGCAACAACATCAATTTTAGCTATTTTTAGACGCTGTTCATTTGGGCGTGAAAAATATGAATAAATGACAATCAGCAGGGGCGGGGGCAAATGCGGATTCTGACAGGTGTGGCTGCCGCTTATCGCCGCGAGCCTGGGAAACGATTTTCGTACCGTGCTTGGCGACAATTTAAACCGTACATACATACATACATATATTATTAATATTTATGTATATGTATATGTATATTTATGTCTAAATATATACATACATATATATTTAATTTATTTTTTATTTTTTGATAATTATAGCGACAATGATAAGCCAAGTGGAGCTTATGGACCCAGGCCAATTACAAATACATATTGCGCACACATTTCACATAATGAACTAAATATACTAAGTACGTACGTATGCATGTAAATACATATGTATGTACGTATATGGTTTAAAAACCTATGTACATATGTACATATGTAGAAAAATTTGCAGGGAAATTCCCGCAATAATAACAACAAAGTGCCAAGCGCAAGAGCAGATACAGCTACAACGGCGCCGACGACGTATGTGTGTATGTATGTATATAAACAAAGACGTAAAATGGAAGAAAGAAAAAACAACACAAACAACTCTGTGCTTGCTCTTAAAATGTAACAACAAAGGCGAAAACAAACAAAATAAAAGCTTGCACCAGAAAGAGGTGTAGCTTGGCAGGAACATGCGATGAATGCAACTGCAGGGATATATCGATAGTAACCAAACAGGAGTTATGACAATGAAAAGAGAATATCATTGAACAGCGAAGGTCAAATAGTACGAAATTAAAAAAAAAAAAAAACTCTCCTGACATGACATGAGATGACATGAGACTGCGAACCAATCAAATAATTTCAATAGGGATGTTTTGTATGGCCTTTTAATTTTACTTTGAACGTCAAAGCCAAGTCTACATATATAGATAAATTTATAGAAATAACAAAATCTTATCAACGTGAGTGTGCCTATCATGCATTTATTACGAATGGAAACAATCTGATTTTTATTTTTCATAGTGGTTCGATAAAAGTTTATGTTGGCAAGGAATTAATTTTCGTTTTGTTAATGTATTAGAATTCAAAATAGAACTCTCCAGATTATACCCCTGAATATGATTGTTGCATCTCGTCTACTAAATGCATTTACACGTCTACTAAATGTTTTCACGTTCTCAATTATCGAGATTCTACAATTTTGGCACCTGTTAGCGCCGAAAACACAATGAGGGCCATTGATAAAAGCATGTTGGAGACTAGTATAGGACATACATAGAAAATCAATATTTGCACATTTAGATTAGAAATTATGTGGAAAAATATAACAAATACATGCGTAGATAAAGTGTATACGTATTTAAATATTTTCACAAGAATTAAGGCCATTATGGCAAATAGGCAATGGGCCAGACCCGGCACGTCGGCCCCCGTCGTTTCTAAGCTCCGGGCCATGTCACAGTTTTTCTGTGTTATCACTCGGTAATGGGGCGGGGGCGGAAATATTCATATAAAAATACCTACAAACAATCGCACACATACCAATCACGAACGAACACACATTCGCAGTCTCTTATAAGCGTTCATACGCACACACTATGAAACGAGAGTGCGAAAGAGACACGTAGAGAGCGACAACAGCGACGACGCTGTTGTATTAACGGCAAAAAAACGACGACAACGGCAACAACAACAAGATAAAAACCAGCCAGATCGTCTCTGTGTTTGTATGTGTGTAAGTGCGAGCGAGAGAGCGCGCGCATTAAACAGGTGACATTGGTAGCAGCGCTACGCAATAATAGATAAAAAATACATAATTCAAATAAAATGTAAAATGCCAGCCAGGTTAAGAAATTACACGAAACATGGCCCAAAATGCAAGACCAGTGTGTACACACCGAAATATGAGCGACGCAACTTGTTGAGTGCATAAATATAACGTTCTACATATAGATTATTATTTCCGTTAAATCTATTCTACTCACCAATAATAATTATACGAATATTTGCGAAATGGGCGCCCTCTGACTGTGTTTATTGTTCAGCACTTTGCGATTGCATCAACTTGTATATTTTCACTTTTTCTCTTTCTTGCCCTTGCTTGGCTTTCACTAATGCTTTTGCAGTTTGCTGCAAAAATACACAATTGCACTCGCACGCTCGCCTCGTTTATTTCCGTTTCGGCACTTTTTTGCCAGAGCCTTTATTGGTATTTACTAATTATTATTTTTATTTTCGTTTAATTTCTACGCGATCCGATTGATCCGCGAACTGTGTGGCAAATGAAACAGCTGATTGATTGATAACAGCGTCTGTAACTTAACATTTGGACTGAACTGCTTTTAACAGCGATAATTTATGCTACTTAGCAGAACTGACGTTGATATTTTCATGCACTTGGGCATTAGAATATATATATTAATACTACCAACAAGCAGTATAAATCTTTGCCAATGCTCAAAAAGTTTAAAGAGTTACTTTGAAACTCATCAGTTGTTGAATAATTGACCACAGATCCATTTGAGTCTGAAGAGTAGGCGCAGTGAAGACCTAATCCAATCGATAGAGGCAGCTGTCATCTACTCATATCGATATATTAAAAGTCAGAATTGAGTATATCGTGCATAAATACAGGGTGTGTAATAACTATGAAAACATCAACAATAAATAAACAAGAAATTTAGAAAAATTCGACAAACCTGAAAGCTGTTAAAATACTATTTGTCTTGAATGAATATAACACTGGTTGGTTTTCTTGCAAACTGCGACACGCTGCTTGCTTGTCTTGTATTTTACGTTTAGAATAAGTGAAGAGCTTTTACACCAAACCTTGATTGAATTAATCATAAATAATATTTGAGAAATGGTTAAACATATTCAACATACATTCGCAGATGTACAAAGACCCTAAATCAGTCCAAAGAGATAGTAAAACAGAGGCAAGATAAGAGCACCCTTCGCAGATGAAACGCCCGTCACGCCCACAATCAGTTTAAAGATGCCATAATAAAAGGCAAGCTGGAGCACCACATGGAGGCCCAAAAGACTGCAAAGCAAGACAGCGGTAAGTAATGCGAATTAAATTTCATACTATATACTAACATTTTGTCTTTGCGACGGGCTTTCTCCAGATTTTTGGGCGATTCCTTGCTCAGATATTGACGCACACCTTGAATGGTGTTGGCGAAATATTCATCCCACGTCAGTTCTCCAATATCTATTCCAAACTTCTTTTTGTCCACAATGTCCATGGTTTTTGACAGCGCCAGCAGCCGTTTGCTATCAAAATGCCATTCGGTGAATATGAAACGCTCCAAGGTATTCAACGAATTCCAAACGTTTTTATGAAGTCGCATCAGGCTGGAAATGAACGCATTTGAAAAGATTTTTAAAATTAACATCTAAACACCTCTCTTTATCTAGGTAGTGCTTTCTCTTATGCCATAAGGCATAGTAACTCACATTGGTCTACCGCCGCCAATTTTGGTGACCAAGTCAAGGAAGAAGCCGGGTATAAAGTGGAATAGTATGGCCCCAAGACGAAACAGCATCAGGCTCTTCACCAGACGCAAATTGGGATACCAGACGGCGCTGTTCAGCGGATAGTCATGCAAATAGCTATTGATTTTGTCCTTCAGAAACTCGAAACGGAATGGCTTATATGTGCTGGATGTCAAATGGAATATCTGCAGCTCCGCGGGACGTCCTCCATTCTTGGCTCTGCAATGGTTCAGGGATTAGTTGTCTGAATATACATTTCTAATTTCTAATAAAACCCACTGCAATGAATTGACATAGTAGCCCGTGGTTATGATGCCATTGACCACCACATCGATGGGTATATAGTCCATGATGATTGTAGGATCCAAGGGGAGACGACGCAAGATTCCTTTGGAGGCGCCCATGAAGAAGCCCTGGGGACCGTTCTTCGATATTGTCCAGCCGGGTATGGGCTCTTTCCAGGCAGCCGTGACTGCAATGATTTCAGTATGAGAGAAAACCAGGACAGCAAACGCAGTTCACTTACTCATGCTAGGACGCACAATGCCGCAGGGGAACTGCGATGCCGCATTGGCCACCTCGTGCTCCGCCAGATGCTTGGTAAACGTGTAAGTGTTGGGATGGTCCTTGAGCAATCTGTAAATGAAGTACAAAATTAACTACTTTCAGTTAACGACTTCACAGGGCCAACTCACTTTGGCTCCAGTTGCTTGAGCGCTTCATCGTTAAGTGTCTCGGCCAACTGAATAATCTTTTCTGGATCATCGGGCGAGGGATAGAGCTTCTCTTCCACATCAGTTATATAGGCATTCACATATGCGCTGGACACGTGCACCAGTGCATCCAAATGGCGCAGTTGCTTGCACAGCTCGACGACGCGACGTGTTCCACGCAAATTGATGTTCGTCGTCTCCTTGAGGGATTGGAAAAAGTCCAGCGTGGCAGCCGAGTGGAAAACCACGTTCACGTTGTCGATCAGTGTCTCACGATCCTTTGCAGAAATGCCCAAATGCTCGAGCCCAACATCGCCTTCGATGGGCACAATCTTCGAGAGACGCGACTCCAGTTGCAGCTCCTTGAAACGGTCGAACACCGAGTTCTTCTTCAGTTCCTCCAGACGCTGCTCCACGCTCTTGCCCTTCTTGGCGCGCATCAACAGATACAGGGTGCCCACATTGGGCACATCTCGCAGCAGCTTCTCCACAATGGTCACGCCCACAAAGCCCGTGGCGCCCGTGATGAAGACATTGCGTCCTGCATAGAAATCTGTGATGGGCGAGCTGAATTGGTAGCATTTGATTAGTGTCGATTGAGTGGAAATTTTAACATGTATTTATATAACTAATGCAGGTCGTCTTATTAACAGATTCTCTTGCATAACAAACTTAACTAACTTTCCCTACGCTTCAAATGCGGACAACAAAGGCAAAATTAGCCGCACCAGCAGCAGCAGCAGCCGTACCAGCCGCAGCAGCTCCAAGGCGGAATCATACAAGTCTGTCGCATTTCTCCGTAACGTAATGCTCCAATGTCCAAACCAGTTTTTTGTATATTGATGTGTATATACATATATATGAATGTGTATACATATAGTGTGTGGGTTCTAGCTGCTATTTGTCGTCTGCATATTTATCTAGTTAACTAAATTCAACCTGAGCTGCGGGAGTATAAAAATAGCAGATCAAAGGTACTTGAAGCTGAGTGGGACAACGTCAAAGCATTAACTAAGCAAAAGTGAACTCAGATAATACGAAATATGAAAACACTGCAAATTGTGCAGTCACGTAGTCGAATTGGGAAAAATAGTAGCGCAAATCAGTTAGTATTTGTATAATTAACTCGTTTTATGATATCGATGTTATAATTGTAATGTGAACTAAATAAGTTTGGCGAAAATATACATGCTAGACCCATATGTATAGCTAGAGCCAAGTAAATAAGTAATTGTAACTAAATTATACTAGGTATAACATGTATACACTGCAATATCATGTACTATATCATCTTATATTGCATAGGCCTTGGCTAACTATGCGATCTGTAGAGCCAAGTTTTTGTTTTTGACACACGCAAGCGCAATTTGAATTAGCCACTTTCGTTTTGGCCCTAATGATGGCAACGTCTCCGACTCGTCTGTGGTTGCGTCTGGTCATGGCAAATGATTTTATAATGAACAATGCAAATGATGTGTGCGGTATTTGTTTTTGTTGCTCGCTGATTTTATTGACTAACAAATGGCAATTTGATGTTCGAGCTGCGCAATATTTATGATTTACTCGATCGAGTTAAGCTCAAAGCTGAAGCCGTTGCAGGTGCAGCTGGAACTGCAACTGCCTCAAGTCATTGGTAAAACAGTTTTGATGCCAGCTTCAGATTTGGTGCCGAAACTCTCAACTCTGGATGTCAGCTGAATCAAGCTTTCACTTGGCCTCTTTGCCTATTAGCAGCAGGTGAGCCCCGTGTCTGGCAGCCACAGCTTCTAACGTGGCGATAAGTCGGCATAAATTAAAAGTTTTTTTGCTTTGTGGCTTTTGGCAATTCGCAAATTTGAATTTTGCAATGTATTAGCCAATTTCCTACTGGGTCTTTGTATTATTTCTGTATAAGCTTTGTGCTGCGGTGGCTACAGTAAATTGTCTTATTATCTTGACTAAAGCCATGCAGTGATTAGATTTTAGCTGAGGTTTCCCAAACGTGGCCAAGTGGAACAACACTTATCGCGCGCAATTAACTGCGCGGATTTATGGCAGCAAATTAAATGTTGAATTTATGCAAACAGGTCAGTTCTGACTCGTTCTATATATGTATACGGTATATTTCCATTGCAGGTGTGTGTCTAGTATTTATAAATAGCTTTAAATAAATAATTTTGCTTAATTCTAGGTTCGAGGATCGACTATGAACTGTGAACTCTCTGGATGTACACGACCTCATAGCCCAGCATCCGACTGCTAATTGCTATATGTGGACATAATTGGCAGTAATGGAGCTTGTGGCGACAGCACTTCGCAAAGGGATAGATTTTGCGTTGGTTATACCCTGGCTCCATTGGAAATGGGAAATCAGGGTATAATGGTTTTGTGAGAATGTATGTAACATGTAGAAAGCGGCGAGGCAAAGTATATAAAGTATATATATTCTTTATCAGTGGGGAACTGAGTCGTGGCCATGTCCGTCTCGCTGTCCGTATGTGTGAACGCGACGATCTCAGAAGATATAAGAGCTACAGACTTAAAAGTTGATACTTTGATTTAAAAATTCCATAACTACTGCTCTTATTTTGTTCTCGATTAAAAACCTTATGGTATAAGCAATAGAACTACGTTTCTTGCATATTTAGAGATAGATATTTGAACCACAGATTCATGTATATTTTTCCCCTCTCTCTTCCCTCTACATTTGCTAGAGACTTGTGCTTTGACACAAATACACGTCGTTTTTTATGAAGATAGTCCATCTACTAAATAGTTCCCATAGTTAGCCTCAGACTCATGCATGTGTGCTTACGTGGGTGTACGTATGTGGGTGTGTCTGTTTTGTCTTGTATGTAAGCAGACAAGAAGCGAGGAATTATTGAAATATCAGTTATTTCTACGGGCTCAGGGAATCTCGTAGTCGAAACTGCTCGACTAGAGTTTTTTTACATGTTTGCTTTTGTTTTTGTATGTCTCTCAGCCACGTTGTATTTTTTTGCCTGCATCAATGGCTACCCAAGCCGAGAGAGATGTTTTAGCAACCTGTTCACGCGGCCCCAACAATTAACGTCATTCATAATGCAGCAGGCAGATATATTATGCACACGTAAATCAAAGCCTAGGCGTTGCCCAGGTCGAAGTTTATTGGGCGTGTAGAATTTTAATGTCGCAAAAATGTCAAGTTTCAATTTATTTGATCTTGTAATAAACGTAAATTGCGATTTTATATGTTTTCTTACATAGATTTGGTGGCTGAGCGCTTTAAATTAATTACGTAAGTCCAAATTCATCCGTATACTATCTACATAGAGGCTCACTTTTAATTATATTATTATTTATTTAATTTTGATTGGTGTGTCAAAACTAATTATTATTTATGTTCGATGTCTGTTCAGGCTGATTTATATATTCATTTGATAATTGATATTTATTGATAGTAATATACTGAAATTTAACTCTAATTATCTAATTTGTGTAACTCCCGGCTTAAGCTGGTTTACCGAAAATTTTCATATTGAATTTTTAATTTATAAACAAATATACATATATTGAAGGTGATTATAATTTATTAAATTCATTATATAACTTTTGTAAGAAATAAAAATAAAAGCTTTGAGCTACAAATTTTTAGTGTTTTATTCAAATTTAATTCAATTAAAAACCTACCTAAATTTAGGTAAGTGTAACAATCTATAATTATAATTACCAAAAACTTAAATGGTTGAGAGTTATTTACTATTATAATTATTTCTTTTTATCAATATCCTTTTAATTTATCTTACTTCTTCGTGTATTCCTTACTACTACAATTTTGAGATATTTAAAAAAAAAACCGGAATCAGTAAATTTCTGGAAGTGATTTTTACATGGCACAAAGCGAATGTAAATATTGATCGACAGCCAAGTGTCGGATCTCTGACATAAGATACCATATGATGTCCATGTGTGCGTGTGTGTGAAGAGAAAAACTCTAAAACAGAATGTGCGCCCAGGGCATACGCATTGCATCTGCTGCGGATTTATTTATAGTTTTACAACTTTAAAAATTGAAATTTATTGCAATTTTGGCAAATGGCTCTGAACTTTGTACCGAATGTTTAAATTCAAATAATTAATTCACACACACACACATACATATATAGTTATATTCCCAGCCATAGATACGAAAGCAGTCAAACTAGCCCGACTTATTTGTTAGATGGCCATTTTGGCAGTCTATGTCCAAAAATGTTCTCTTACCTGGCCATAGTAACGGGGCACAGCTGTTGATCAAATGCACGAATTGATATTCAGTTCAATATGTGTATATAGTGTTCGCTATATAGATCTGGTTGGATCTAACGCCGAAGAGCCGAAAATTTCTCTTTTTTTTCGCTAAGCTGAGCTTCTTTTTTTCTTTCGTTGCTTCTTCCTCTTCACTTTGTTGTTTGTTTAAGCGTTGTTGCTGCGGCAGTAAACAATATACACGCGCACACACTCACATATATTCATACATATGAATGAATGCCTGTGTTTGTGAACAGTTACGTCGCTCTCTGTATGCGGTATGCGTTTGTGTGTGTGTGTGTGTGTAGCTGTTTCGGTGCGTTCGTCCGAAACTCTGCGTGGAGCACAACTTGCACGTTTGCCGGCCGAAGGGAAACTGTTTCGTCGGCTCTCGTAGACCGTGTCTCAATGCATTCTCTCGGCACGCCGACGAGCCACATGATGATGAACAGCATCATGATGAGCAGCAAGAAACCAGTTATACAGTGGCGTTGCACAAGAGGGATCTATTTCTGGTAGGAATAATCCATATATAGAATTTTATTGTAATTGAAATCATATTTAATACATATTCAAGGCATTTAAACATATTCAAAAATTTTATTGAATTTATTCATGAGCTTCAATGATGAAACTATTATTTTATATGAAAATTGAAATTAGTCGAACAAACTGTAGCAAACTTTAAGGGGTCTGCTATAAATCAATTGCGCTCTGAAATTTTAAAGTATATTTTGTGGCTTACATTGCAAATGCTAATATGCATTAGTATGTGTTTTAATAAGATCGGAAGCTTAACAAAAACACACACATACATGCGCACGCGCAAGCACTCGGTCTGCTAACTGCGTAATTGACGCAACGACTGCGCTTGGGCTATGAACTTATTTCGTAATCGCACTTTCAGAATGTAATAATGACATTCATACACAAGTGTAGACATGCCAAACCACAAGTTGCTTTCAATTTAAATACATTACGATGGAAAGGGCTGAATTTCGATTATTGATCAGGCTGTCAACCTGAGTCGATATAGCCGTGTTTTTTCTTAACTATATTTTGACTTAACTTAAAAAAAAAGAGAAAAAACTCTTGTTAGCTTGGCTTAACATTTAAATTGTCATATTTATTTCATTAATAGTTTACATAGTTAATTGTTAATTGTTTACGTTTAGCTTTCGTAATTTACAAGTGCACAAACATTTGACTATTTGACTATATACCAGGACTATTTGTTATAAAGTGACTACCATTTGAGCTAAGTTTTGGGCTTGTTTACATTTATTTTAGATTTGTATTGGTATGGTATTGACAGATATATATGTTTATTCGATTTCACTATATAGCTGACTTGTACTCAAGTGTGAGAGCTTAAAGTAAAATTACATGATGATACCCTATGAAGAACAATGGAAACGACGTGTGTGTGTGTGTGTGTGTGTGTGTGTGGGTATGTGAGAGTGTATAGGTGATAAAATATTGCACAATATGTATGATCCACCGATCCCATTAACGATCACCTTACAACCAGACCAGGAATGCCCATACGAAGAGCGCCACAGTAAAGCCAACGGAGAAGCCCAGGAAGGGGGTAAGCACAAAGTAGAGTATAGCAAAGATCGCTACGAAGCCGGCATAGTACAGGATGTTGAAGCTGAAAATGAGAGATATAAGAGATGTATAGATATAGAACTATAAAACCTATTGAGTGATCAGTGATCAATAATTAAATTTGTTCTTGAATCGCTCAACTGTTCATTAGATATATCAGTTATATGCTGCTGTTGATCATGAGCAGCTTAATTTATGAGCAATAATTTCGGTCTTTAACTCAGATGATTGATAGTTCACGAACTAGTTTAATCAATGCTGAGTTGAGCAATTCTAGTTTCGATTACTTACACCTTCCAGTAGTTGCGATGCCATTGCGTAGTGACCGCCGACTCCTTGAAGTAGAAACGCCTGATGCCGATCAGACAACGATCGATGAACTCTGACCAATCGCAGTGGCTGGCATCAAAGTTGTAGCGTTTGCGATCGCTTTCGTGGATGAGCGCGGAGATGCGCAGTGCATTCTTCATGGAGTACCGGAAATCCTTGTCCAGAAAGTAATCGAAAGCCTTGGCACCATTCTGGAAGACGCGCATATATTCGTAGGCGCTGTAATTAAGGTCGGGTGAGCATATAGATCTGGTCAACTCTCGAGTAATGTTCGGACTCACGTGTGCTGCGGCATGCCAATGCCAAAGAGCTTCTCCGGTATATAGAAAATCATCGCGGGCAGCAGATGGAACAGATAGAAGAAGAGATTATAGCGCCAGCCATTGCGCAGCTTCGTGGATGGCTTCCAGACAAAACTGTTGGGCGGATGACGTTCGACGCTATCGTTGATTATATCGCAGAACTGCGACAGGTTAAGCGGATTCACCTCGCCCGACGTGCAGTGTATTATCTCTGGCTCCTTAATATTGCGTGTGCCCACATACCAGCCCATGACCAGGGAGCTGTTGATCACATAGTCGCACGGTATGATGTCGATGATGGCACTCGCGCTGCCGGACATCGTGCGAAAGATGCCCTTGACAAAGCCGGCCAAGAAGCCCAGGTGACCCGAGTTGGCGTTGCCCACCCAGCCCTTCATGGGGTGCTCCAGTGTGCCGTATACTGTGATAACAGTCAGTGAATGCCTTCTCAATTATATTTACACTTTGACTCACCTATGGATGGCCTAACTATGGCTGCCGGCAGACCGGCCATCTCTGCCATGAGCAGATTCTCGGACAGATTCTTGGTGAACGTGTACGTGTTGGGATGATCCTTGAGGTAGCTTTTGCACTTTTGCTGCGTGAAGTCCACCCAGGCCTCATCGTTCTCGGCCATCTTCATCATTTCGTACGGGTCGAACTGTGACTTGTAGACGTCCTCGGTGATCAGGCCGCGATTGTTGCTGTTGCAGAAGGCCGTCGAGCAGTAGATGTAGGCGGACAGCTGCTTCAACTGCTTGGCCAGCTCAATGGTGCGCATGGTGCCCGTCAGGTTGGTGAAGATCGCCGTGCGCAGGGGCGAATTGAATCTGATAGTCGCGGCACTGTGATAGATCACATTGACTCGCTCGATCAGCTCCTGCAGCAGCTCGCTTGGAAAGCCGAAGTTTGGCTCGGTTAGTTCGCCAACAACCGGCACCACCTTGGCTAAGGTCTTCTCATTGTACTTCTGGAAGATCTGTAGGGAAAAATTAAAATAAAAAATAAATTAAAATTGAAATATTATTACATACAATGAACGGTTAAGAGAGAAAGTTTTTCTAGATGAATTACAAAATAGCTGTGAATGTTTATAAAAAACTACTCGATATAGCCCTGTCCGTCTCTCTGTCCGTCCGTCCGTCCGCCCGTCTGTCTGTATGAGTGCGTCGATCTCAGAAGATACAAAGGCTAGAGAGCTGAAATTTTGTGTGCATACCATACGCAGTACGAGTTTGCTTTATTTTT